CTAGAATTATTCTACGTTATCTACTTAGAAGCTTCTAGTAGAGTCTAGTATAAGCTAAACTAAAATAGCATTATTCTCTACACTAATTAGAGCCTTTAGGTTACTAAACTAGGCGTTAACTATAAGAGAGTTAATATTCTTCTTTAGAAATTATTGCTTAATCTTAGCTAAAATACTCTTAGCCTATAGTCTCTAGCTTAGGTTATTAATACAACTCTAGAGGTTCTTTAGCGTACTCTACTAAAGTATATTCTATTTATCTATGTAAAGCTAGCTCTTATCTATATACACTTAAAGAGTTAGGTAGTTCTACTTATAATAATTACTCTTATTATATACCTAATAATTTATAGTTACTTTAAGAGCCTATCTATTTATAGTGCCTTAATTATATCTAGTTTCTAGATTCTAAAAGCTTTAGAAATTATTGCAGAAAGTCTAACTAGTATTCTATTAGTAACTACTATATTACTACTACTACTAAGGTTAATACTAGTTATTTAGCTAGAATTGCCTCTAGCCTTAGAGTAGGTACGCTCTTAGGTAGTTTACGTATTTATTAGCTTAATAGTCTACTTTACTACGTATATTAGAGTTATTTATAAGTTTAGTTTTGTAGTAGGTCTACTAGATCTTCTATAGTTCTATCTCTAGGCTAGTATAATTAATCTTTAGGTTAAGCATCTTATTAACTAAGTTATCTACCTCTATATTAGTAGGTACTTTTTCTAGAGAAGACTAAAAGGTATAGAGCCTAAGCAGCTTATCTTAGAGTAGAACGTTAAGCTTAGGTAGCTAAAAAGCTTGCGTGTAGTTATCTTAGAAGGTTAGTACTAGTTACTAAGGTTACTAATAGGCTATTAGCTGCGCTAGGTTAAATTTAACTTCTAGAATAATCTCTTTAACTACTTTAGAGGGGTTAAGCATATAAGCTTCTTTCTCTACCTCTAGATAGGTAGTAAGGTAGTTACTAATCTTAGTGTAGTTAAATGCCTTTAGGTTATTAGTCTTTAAACTAAACTTATTAAGTATCTTTATAGTATGCCTAAAGAGTAGTCTCTTAACTAAGTAGAAACCTTAGCAATCTTTATTAATAGTTAATACTTTAATATAGTGCTTACTACAAATCTAAAACTTCTATAAGTACTTCTTAATATTTAGATTAGACCTTGCTTAGCACTAGAAAAGCTAGTGCTTAAAGTACTTAGCCTAAGCTTTCTATTAGTCTTTGTTATTAGTATAAAAGAGCTTTCTAAGAGCCTCTCTAAACTTCTTCTAGAATTTAGTAACTAGAGCGTTAGAATATTTATTTAAGACTTAGATAATTACTCTCTACTTAGGTTTATAGTGCGCTAAAAGGTAATTAATCTTTATCTTGTCTATAAACTTATAGTACTTTAATATATTCTTAAAACGCTTAAGAAACGTAGTAACGTTAGTTCTATTAAACACTAGAACTATCTCTAATAGGTATAGAGAAAGCTAGGTAGAATAGACTAGAGAGTAATTACCTAGCTACTAGAGAGACTAAGCTATTATCTAAAGAAGCTTTACTATATTATTATTCTAGAGTTATACTAGAGGTTGTGCCTAAGGCTGCTAGCTAGTAGTGCCTAAGAACTCTAGAATGTCTAGCATCTTAATATTCTTCTAGAATAATGTAGGTATTACTTTAAGTTTTATAAGCTTAGTTTAGAGAGGTAAAGATAGTTATTTAGCAAACTAGGCTTTTAAAAGAGCTTTAGCAACTAACTTAGATTATTTATTAATCTTAGCCTTATTAGATTAACTCTTACTTATTTATATAAGGTAGTACACAAGTATTATAAATAGTATAATAGCTAGTGTAAATATTAAATATATAAGTACTATTAATTAGGTTTAACTATTTACTTACTAATAAAGTTAGGTGTTCTTTACTAGAAGAGCTATTACTGCCTTTTTTATATACTATAATAGCTTTCTACTACTATCTTATTATTTAGCCTTTTTCTTTCTAGCTATACTAGAATTAAGATCTACTACGTTAGCTCTTCTAACCTTCCTTAGGTCTTGTTATTTATTCTTAGTAGAATAATATAGCTATATACTTTCTATTATATTATTTTCTATCTATATAGCTATCTAAAGAGTAATTAGTCTAGTCTAAACCTCTTATCTAGCTCTTTATATTGCTTAGCGCAGCGCTACTACAGCTATATTATCTATTAGCCTAAGTAGTAGTTATTATTATCTAATTATTTATATTGTTAGAGGTCTCTTAGTGCGCCTACTTCTTAGGTATCTATACTATTAGGTTTCTATAGCTTACAGTTTGCTTCTACGTGTCTCTTAGGTATACTATTCTACGTATTATCTTATTCTCTATTTTATATACTTACCTATTACTTATTCTATTATATTATATAATAATTATATCTCTTCTAAAGCCTAGTTAAACTATTATTCTAATAAGCTTTTAGTAGGTAAAATGCGCACTTAAAGGTAGCGCGTAGCCTTTCTAAGGTAAAAGACTAAATAGGTTAAGTTTTAGTTAGTTGCTATATATAGTAGAGAGATTAGAAGTATCTCTATTAGAATAGGTGCTTAATATAGTTAGTTGTATTATATGTATCTTGTTATTGTTCTTATCTAAACGCTGTTTAGACCTAGCTTTCTCTAGCGCACTAACCTTTAAGCCTAATAGCTATTTAGCCTATTATTATATTACTAGTTTTACTACTACAATACTTATTAATATAATCTAGACTTATAAACTTATTACGCTTATCTATAGGTATAAAAAATAATAAGTGTATATATAGCAAACTCTATTTCTAATACTTAATTATATATATATAATCTATATGCAGCCTAAAATAACCTTATTATAGCTTATAAAGTAACTATTGCGACTTTATATAGAATATACAAGAAATAATATTAGGCTAGTTTATTCTAGTCTCTTCTTAGTAGAGCTTATAGTTAACTTCTAGCTAATATCTACTAGCTATAAAAGTAATAAACAGCGTAGAATATCTGTATTTACAAACAATAGCTATAGAGTTCTAGTAACATTAACTTACAAACTAAGAACTACTAATATAGAAAGATAGTAATATAAGCTAAGCACTAATAGAACTAGAAGCTTAACTATCTACCTAACTATCTACTACAATAGTATCTATAACACTACTATATAGTTTAGAATAGATAGTCTTCTAGTTGTGCTTAAACTAATTTAAACGTAACTAATCTAAAATAGCCTAAATATTAATAACCTACTACTAGAATAGTTAATAATACTAAAATAGAATAGTTCTCTAACCTTCTTATAGGTATAAATAATAGCAATAGAACATGTGCATAGTAATCTTCTTCTATTTCTATCTACTACCTTAATCTATTATATCTATTTTAGGCATCTACCTCTTCTTACTATAGAGAAATATTAATAGGTACTCTAATAGCATATATAACAGATAGTAGGCAGATATATAATATAACTAGTTAAAGTTACAGGCTGTAAGCACTACTAATTAAACTATTTTACTAGCAGTAGCGTCTAGAAGAACTAGTCTAACCTTATTAGCGCACTGTATATTCTTACAATAGCAATCTACACCTTCTACTAGCTAAACCTTAAGACCTAAAGTTAATACAACCTATTAGTTATTAACTACTTTACGTAAATAGCTTCTAGTAGTCTTATAAATAGAAATATACAGATTGTTAATCTTATATAATATAGTTAAGATACTCTAGAATACTTTAATTCTTAAATCTAAATTGCGCTTTTAGCGCCTAGCAGCTATATACTAAGAATTAAAAAAATATAGTTGCGCGTACGTTAGTAGCAAATTAGCTAACGCGTTAAGAGAACTAGAATAATAATACAGCGCTCTATAGATAGTAAAGACCTAAATACCTAGAGCTGTAATACCTCTATTAGTTTATTAATAGTCTAAGAATATAAACGCAAATAAAGCGTTGTACGCGCGTAAGTTCTTATAGAAGTTCTATACTTCTAAATTATTCTCTTGTAATAGCTAGTATAGGTAGTTTAGTAGTGTATAAAATAATAGAAGTAGAACACGCCTATTTTTACAATAAGAACTAAACTACAGTTCTACTATAGACAAATTTAACTTCTTTTTGTCTATCTAGTAGAGTGCGTAGTAGAATTTGCATTAGAATGTCTACAGCTCTAGATTGTTATAGTTAGAACTAATTAGCGAAACAAGTTTATCTCTCTATACAAGACCTGTAAGAACATTTTTAGGTAGTAAGTTATTAATATTATTGCTGTAATTACTTATAGTTAGAGGCAATATACGCTTATAGGCTAATAACGTAACTAATACGTTAGGCGATTTAGTGCAGCAGCGCTAGTAAGATAGCTTATCTTATAGAATAAGATTAGAGAACTATCTTTAAGTAGCGCGCGCTCTGCAACTATTAGTCTATATCTATTAATAAAAAGAGCTACGCGATTACGCAAGAATACGTACTACCTTACAGCTCTTACATAGCTAGAACGCAGCGCTAACGTAATTAAGTATAAATTTGTTCTCTAAAAGGTAGATCTTATAGTCGCAACACTAAATTAGAGATAATAGCTAACTAGTAATAGGTTTAAAAGTCTGCGTAATAGCTAGCGTAGTAGCGCGTCTACATTATTACAGAGCTATAATAACGTTTTTAGTAAAGAGCAGCGTAGAAAAAAGCCTAAAATTAAGCTACTCTAATAACAACTAGCTGCACGTAGCTCTAATCTAGCCGCTAACTATATATAGTTAACAAACATAGCAGTATTAATAAAGATCTTAACGTAGCATAGACAAAAAGTAGCATATTACAATAATAACTATAACTGCAACAGGCTGTAATAAACTGTTAGAGAACTAAAAATAAAGGTATTACTAGCGAAGGGTCGCTTCGCGAAAATTATAACTTGTGCTAGGCTGCTTCGCAGAAGTTAGAGACTCTGTATTATATTGTTAGATAATCCGTAAGGGTCTCTACGACGCCATACAAATGTTGAAGGATTCTTTTGACTTTGGGTCCTGAAATATCCTTCTCTTCTCTCTAGCGTAGCGGAAGATGTCACGACTAATTTTTTGACTGTATATGAACGCAGCTTGTTTTGCGAAGGCGTTGGCAAGATCTTCCCTTGTCAACACTCGCGCTATCTTAGCGATCCTGCAAGTGCACGGCAGCTCGACGAGTTCGATGGAATTTGCTGTGTTGTATGCTTCGTGAAGTTCCTTTTGTGGGTTGTCTTTGTGCCAATCAGGCTGGTTTTCATCCTCATGGGTATGCTTGCGTTTCAGGCCTGCGACGGGGGGCGGGATATAGTAGTGTGATTTTGGTTCATCGTGGGATTCTGGTTCCTCACGCGATTCTGGTTCATCCTGCGCAAAATCCGGAACACCTTGCGGTGTCGCATCCGATGGAACATGGTCTCCAGTTTCCTTCGGCTCCACATGCGCTGTGTCGTCATCGTTCGCTAGAGTGGCGTTATAGCTTTCTTCTTTCTCTGGTTCTGATACTTCCTCACTGGGAGTTGAATGTAGTACCGTAGAAGCTGCAAGACCCAGATTTTTCTCCTTCCGTGCCTTTACGTGAGCCAACAGAGCCTCGATTATTGTATCTGCGGATGTCTTCGGGGCCTGTAGAGATTTAATGTCGTACCCATCGTCCTTTAGCAACTTCAATCGTTCGATATTGTTGGCTTTCTGCTTCCACGTCTTTTTATCCCAGACTTTGTCCAAGCTCAGTCCCTTATGAGCGATGCCTTTACATGCTTTTTCTTCCCAGATATGATCTTCTGACGAGAGTTTCGCGCATGGATGTGATTGTGAGATGACAGGAGCCGCCTTGGGTGGCTCAGTGGCTGGTACAAGCAGACTGCCGGCGAGAACATCGGAGTGCAAACTTATCGGCGTTAAAGGTAAAGGAGGTACGAGGTGCTCGGGGCTGTTTGCTTCCTGGGTGCTAGAGACATCATTTCTCGCGCGCATCCGCTCAATGATGTCTTCATCTGGGTGTTGATAGTTTGAACCATTGGCAAGCGCTTGCGCACGACACAGCTGATCGATCGTGAGATCCTTCAGCTTACTGCTTTCCGTGTCCCACACATGGTTGATACAGCGAGGCTCAAAGGCGACAAAGCGATTAGTCTTCTGTGAATGCTGGTGGATCCTCCTGTCGATGCGATGCATCTTATATGAAGCAAGTCTTATGATGGTGATTAGTCCCGTCAAAGTGCAAGGATGGTATCCGGTACCGGTTTGCTATACAGGTACTGTTTAGCACTTTTCCAAACTAACGTACTTGGATGAAACTGGGTGGTTCTTCCGTGCAGGACAAGAAGGCCAGCCAAAGAAGTAGAGCCGAATGGTTGTGAAGAGAATGAGAGATTACTAAAGGGTGTAGTCCGCGCCCGTAGTTATACAGGAAGCAGGTACATCTTGTGGGGCACATCGCTTTCCCTCCACGTCGTGTGACATGATCTTTGGCGCGTGTGAGTGACGCTGGATAGCTTTCACCAGGTTGAATCGCCAATATGTCCGTAAAGAGAGCTGATTGAGAAGCAAATCGAACTACGCCAGTAGGGCGTAGCTACAGGCCGAGCTCTTGTATGTAGCATTGGTGAAAAATCCATAGTATAGCCGCCGTAGTGAATATACCGATCCATATTCTTATACTAACAGTCGGACGCATTGTAGAGTGCAGAAGCCAAGAAAGCTCCAAGTGAAATGCAGCGTTCTAGACTGGCTGACAGAGTTGAATGTATGCCGTGAGTAAGATGTAGCAACCTTTTGTCAGCGTGGCCATATTGTATTGAGTTCATCGCGACGAACAAACTCTGATGTTTCAAGATTCCGAGCTCGCAAAGCAAACCTTCTCATGTGAGCAACACCCACCTAGAGTTGGGAAGCTTCCGGAAAGGCAGTTATAAAATGAGATAGGACTGTGGTTCTCGTGGCCACGCTTGAGGCTCGAGCCGCCATAGGGGAACGAGATGACGATAATATTGCTTGTTCGACGTCAGGGGCGACAGAACCATTGAGAAGATGCGCAACAGAGATCTCTGGAACGAGTGGACTGCTCGCTCGTCGTTGAAGGTAGAGTGTTGGGGTAAGCACGCGTCCGATGAAATCTGCAGTAGTGTTGCTCTGGCCAAAGACTGACGCGTCGTTCTGGCAAGCAGCTTGGGGACCTCATCACATATTCCAGTCGCAGTGTAACCGAACATTCGCTTTTCTTCGCGGGGCACAATTTCCGAGATGGCGCTGATGGTGTAGGTGATTGAATTTGATGGGTGTGACAGACACGGGGTTCGGGCAAACTTCGGAACCGAGCGCGTGGGCGACGTGACACACTAACTTTAGTGGCGTCATTCACCCAACCTCCTTGAATTCAAACACGTCTTTCCTCCTGACATCATTCTTTCCAGTCTGACTGCCCTACTCTAGTCTCATCGAGACATCGCTAAATAGATATATAGGCCATGTCTCGCTTTCACTTCACGTGTCTTCCGGCCCCAGCTTCGACCATCTCACGCCGTCAATTCGCAACAATATGCATCGCGACCTTTCTGAGTCCATTCGGCAAGTACATGCTCACTTACCGATTCGTCCAGCATTCTCCATATCGCGTTCGCTTTCAATGAGGTGTACATCCATCGCGCCATTCCCTCCACGCTCACTGTCTCCTCGGTTCCGCCATCGTGTCATCTTGTTCAATGTTATCAGTTGCATGGCCATTCCTGTACTTCGAAGATACCTTCAACGCGAGTAGACGTTCGATCGATATTTGGCGCCGCTTATGCGCGCATCCGTGTGTGTTCATGTCTCCGCCCGTTTGTTCTCGCGCTGTCACGTGACAAGGCGCTTGCTGCCTCCAGGGTAGGCTGCTTGCTATTGGCTGTCCGTGCTAGCACAATCACCTCTATCAGCACAATCAGCTGTACCGATACTACATTGTTGTAAACACCGACCCCGTCCTCCCCTCGCTGCAGCGGACTGGCAATGGCCGCGCCTGGCAGCAACCGCTATGCGATGTTCGCTAGTGCAGACAGCAGCGAAACTCCCGTCCGCAGTCCCGCTATTGACCATTCTCAAAACCCATTTCTCAACCAGATTGCCGATGACTCGATGCCATGGCAAGAGGTCAAGAAGCGCGGCGCTCCTGCAGTACAGCCGGCATCACCGGTTCGACGCTCTCCGCAGGTGCTGAATGACCGCACCAAGGCTATCCTCAACCGCCCACGCGCCCAGCAACGGCAAGATCGCATCGTCTCGGGCTCAACGGATAACACACCCGAAAAAGCATACGATCCACACGAGAACTGGTGTGGGGTGTGCTCGTACAAGTTCGCCAACAAAGCTGCACTGCTCAGTCACATTAAGCAGAGCGTCGGACACGAAAACTATTGCAACCTCTGCAAGCGCGTCTTCGTGGACCGCAATGGTCTCAAAAACCACGTCGACAATGCAGCGAACCATGAAGTTCATTGCAACCTTTGTCTCTCCGCTTTCAAGGATGACTGGGCTCTCAAGAACCACTTCGAGAATAACTACAGCGTCGGCCATGAGTGGGTGTGTCTTACTTGCTTGCTCGGCTTCAACACTCGCGCTGAGTTGGAGCGACATCTTCAAACCGCTGCGAAGCATACGTGGTGCGGAACATGCCAGCGCCGATTTCGCAATCAGGATGAACGGGATGCACATTGGGAACAGACGAACAGTAAGTGGTCTGAGAGATTCTAAGTTGCGAGCTCGTGTCTTTTTGCCTTGTCAGAGCGTTCATTCTCTTGTTCAACGATTACTTCACCTTGAGGACTTGACTGACCAAGGTAAGGACATAAGCATTGCTTACAACCAGGTTGCGACTTCGATGGGCCGGACCAGTCCACGCTTGCACGGCATCTCAAGTGTGATCACTTCCAGTGCGAAGGCTGCAAGCGCATACTACCTAGCTTTACCAAGCTTACGCAGCACTACGAGAGCTGTGCATTCGCACTTGCCTGCCCACAATGCGGCGAGCACTGTGCTGGAAAGGCCCAACTGGGTATTCACCTCGAGAACTGTTTCCTTTGCGAGGAATGTGGCTTCCACACTCACCACGAGGGCAACTACCACATTGTGAGTGATCTGCCACGCGACTGACTCGCGACTGCCACGCTCACAACACACCAGCACATGACTAAGCACAGATCCGCTGACATTGGCTGTTGGGCCTGCGACGCACCGATGCGCACCTACTCCAGTCTCATCAATCACTTGGAGTCAGGCAAGTGCCCCAACTTCAACGACCCGGCACTTCTTACGCGCTGTCTCGGAAAGTGGTGGTACTCGGCGCTTTACATGGATCTCGATATGCATGCGTCCATTCGCATAGGCCGCGTCGATATTCGCGAGGTACAGCGTTGGTCGGCAGCTGGTGACCTTCACCCTTTCGTGTGTCGCGACGAGGGATGTGGAAAGGTCTTTGGTCATCTGAGTTCGCTGGTATTGCACTGTGAAAGTCAGGCTTGCGGTTGGGGTGTCGATCGCCTGAACATGCCTGGGCTGGAGAAGGAGTTCAAGCACACGTGTCTTCGGAGGGATAGTGCCACTGCCTAGGAGCGAGTACAACATCCGATGGTAGTGGGGATGCTCGAGGATCGACATGGAACGCAAAGGACAGTCATTCGTTCGGTCCCATCCGTAACACTTGAGCTATGCCAGAATATGCTCGCTCAACATGCAAAGCTCAGTCATCTGGTTCATAACATACCATGACGGCTTAATTGACCCAGATTCCATGACTGTGTTGACTCGTTCAACGTGTATCTAACTACCACATCGGACGCACTAGTGCATCGATCACTACACAGCCGAAAGACGCGAACTAGAAACCCAGCTGGCTCTAGTTACAGTGTTACAAACGAGCTCATTCGACTGCTCTCTTGGCCTTTTGAACGCTTCATGACACATGGCACGCGTAACCTTATGTCATCACTCTGTTACAGTACTACCGCCTTCGTTCACCATTCTCGCTGCCCTTACCCTCAAGACGCCCAGTGATCTTCTTCTCAAACTCATCAGGATGGAGCGTCCTGCCTGTCTTGTCTCTGAATCGCCAGCTGACCCTACTCCATACCATCGAGCAATCTTGTTGTAAGATGCGAGCGACTAGACGCAAGTCATCGGCGGAGAAAGTATCGTCGGGTTTTACTTCGAGTTCGAGAGGACGAGCGGCGATGGGTCGGGTATTGTTGTTGTTGTTGTTGCCGTTGCTAGCTTTGGGTTGAGGGGGCGCTCGCGGAGGCACTTTGTTTGAAGAGGCTTTCTGCGCTGAAGCTTTCGCATCTCCGGTACCGCCCCATGTATCGGGTGCTTTGTCCCCAGAATCGTTCTTGTCACCAGACTCGTCTTTGCTGTTACCAGTATCTTCTCCAAACGTGAGACCAAAGAAACCGCCATCATCCCCCGTTTCCTCCTCCTTCTTCTCTTCTTTCTTCTTATCATCCTTGTTGTTTCCATCGTTCTGATCTGCTTTCTTCCCCTTCTTCCCCTTCTTGTTTTCACCTCCCTGTTTGGCCCCACTTGGTTTCCAATCCTTCGGCTTGATATCCTTGAAGCGGCGTTTGCATTCATGCTCAGCTTTACCAAATTCTTCGACTATCTTAGCCCAGGTAATCTTTGTATCATCCTTCATCTGCATCAGCTTCTCGTCTTGCTCTTTTGTCCATTCATTGGACTCGTCGTCCTTCTTGCTATCATCTTGTGGGGCTATGTTGTTCTCTGGGACAGTCGGTGTGTTCCAAGCATCTGCGGGGTCATCTTTCTTCTCTTTGTTGTCGTCGCCACCTGTAGCATCTGGGGTAGTGCCCCAGGTGGCTGCGAGCGGATCGCTTGTGTCATTGCCCGATTCCTGTACGACCCATGCATCCCCTTTGTTACTTGAGGCCTTCTTCGAGCTCGACTTCTTCGATTCGCTCTTTGCATTGGCGTCACCCCACCCATTACCAGCCCAAGGGTCGTCCCCATTGGCGGCGGGCTTGGTCGAAGCTGGTTTCTTCGGGGTGCCTTTCGCGCCTGCTAGCTCCTTTGCCGGCCGCTGTTCAGAAGGTACCTTCGCAAGGCTGGCTGCAGTGAGTCGTGGTTTGCCGGTGCCTGTGAGCCTGCCTTTTCGTCCGTCGCTCGCGGTCCACTCTACGATGCGACCAGGAGTAGACATCTGGTGGTAATTAGCCTAAAGCTTCGTCATGGTATTCAATGGGGGCAGTCACTATGTTAGCAGGTTGGCCGGGCTTCCCAGTTTGCGGCGGAGGCGGAGGTGCGGGTGACTTTACTTCTTTGTACGGCTTGTCACTAAAGCCTAGGATGTATGCCATGGACACTCTACGCGGAGCACCATTTGCATCCGTCATCCCGATAGCTTGGAGGTGCAGGCGCTGAGTTCGAAGTGAGGGCGTTGACACCGTGCGCAAGAAAGGACGCGGTCCGTAAGCGACGACGACGAAAACGCCACGCGGAGACGAGAGGCAATTGAAGTGAATAAAGCAAGCTGAGGTTGAGCGCACAAGAAAGACGTGCTGGTGTTGCGGGGACAAGTGTGGGAGCGGACTGACGATGGTCTTGGCGGCAAACAGATCTGTTCAGAACCTCTAAATTTGGACGGCAGAAGAGAAGGGTACATGACCGAACGATAACAGAATTAAAAGAAAGGACGCTATCCTAAGACCTACGCGCACAGAAGAAAGGAAGTGGACGACGAAGAGAATATCTCATGAGAGATACATGGGTGTTACCTTCCGCCTCAACTCGTTGACGTAGATATCCAGGCTACCAGCGATCTGAGCTGATGAATCACGACACACCATCTCCATGGTCCCCAGCTGTACCTTGAAGTTCTGTAGTAGCGCATTGTGGTAATCGTGCGAGACCCTGAAGGGTAGTGGATGTCAGCGCAGGCAGACTGCACATCGAATCGCGAAATTGTCATGTCATCTACTGATTCCTAACAGATTAGAACAAACGCTGCATCGCATCCAGGATTCACTAGGAAGGCTGTGAACGAACAACAATATTGCGGGGTGTAGGACAGAGCAGGACGCCGTTCGAAGGAAGTTGAGACGGAGCCGTGGCTGACTAATCTGAACGCTAACGTTCTGGGCCCTTGCATTGCGGGCAAGCTGGCATCTCCGTGTACGTAGCTTGGCGCTCGACGAAACATCGAATTCCACACGACAGAGCAGCATCACTATACGCCCGCCATGCTGTTTCCATCTTGCGCCATTCTCGCTGCGGCGAGCAGCTTGCTGTCATTCGCGACGGCGCATAACATACAAATGAAGGCCCACCAGCGCGAATGCTTCCACGAGTCCCTCCACAAGGACGACAAGATGACAGTCACGTTCCAAGTCGGCGACCGGGAGTTCGGCGGCAGCGGAAATTTGGAGATTGATTTCTGGGTGCGTCAATGAGACTCCAATTCTGCCTCCAAACCACATAGCTGACTATTTATCCACAGATCGAGACGCCCTCTCGAAGCTACCAAGTCCACGAACGCGGCGTATCCTCCGGCGACCACTCCTTCGACGCCAAAGAAGACGGCAAATACACATACTGCTTCAACAACGAGCACTGGGGCGCGAACACGAAGGAGGTCTCGTTCAATGTGCACGGCATTGTCTATGTCCCTGAATCGGAAGCCCCCCAAGACCCATTGGAGAAGGAGGGTGAGAAACTACACTGGATAGTTGGGAGAGGACAGTGCTGACAGAAACAGTGCGAACAATGTCGGAACTTGTCTCCCAGGTCAAGGACGAGCAGAGCTACATCATCGTGCGCGAGCGCGTACACAGGAATACTGCTGAGAGCACGAACGCGCGCATCAAGTGGTGGAGCATCTTCCAGTTGATGGTACTCATCGGCCAGGGGTTCTTCCAGGTGTGGTGGCTCAAACGGTTCTTTGAGGTAACCAACACCCGTGCATCCTATCATCATTTTAACAGTACTCAACTAATCCCGTCTACAGGTCAAGCGTGTTGTTTAGCTTTCCCTCTTCTCTCTCACGAGCTGCGTGCGGCGCAACATCTCTAGTTTTTGCCGCTAGTCTACGCACTTTGTCTCGATTCTTCTGGCGTTGGAAGCGTTGAATAAGCACAGGAAAAGGCGGGAGTATGGTGGTTACTTTATGACTCATCAGCGAGATCTGGGTAAGATTACATTTTCATATGCAGAGTTCATCCAGTTCGCTCTATGTTCCACGGGTCTGCTTCTGCCTACGAAGCTTGGCACGTATTGACCCGACTAAAATCTGGTTTGGGTCAGCTGATTCGAAGACAGCCTGGCACCTTGAGAAGAAGATCATTTTAGTGGTTGATGAAGACAGGTTCCGTGAATGTTAGTGTGGTTAGCCCACCTCAACGTATTACTGAATCATTCACCAATCTTGCTTCCATCTGCGGCATTTCTATATAAAGGTGCTCGTATATCACTCCATCTTGATAGATTTGTCCCTACCTCAATGCTCTCAGCCCAATTTCAACCCTTCGTTTGTCATTAATCTCCTGATCCATCTCATTACGTCAACAACAGAACAGTCAGGCAGCGACGTTGCAGCCTCAACGTGGTCAATCCGCCACTTTGTGCGCGTCTCTATCCGCGGTTGTCGGGTGAAGGCGGGAGACACGTCGCAAATTTGCACTGTCGGTGTACTCCTTTGTGTTGTCGGGGTAGCGTGCCTTCTATCACTGGTCGCTGCTGCCTCTCATACGACCGTCACCACGAGCAACGGCAGTATAAATAGTCAACAACCCCCACCCGCCTCCTCCAACACCAAATATGCGCCTCTCGATCCAACCTGCTGCAAGTACACCAGATGAACCCTTCACAACATGGCGCGCCTTCCGGCTGGCCTCAGGCTATGAGCTTGGATGACGTGCATGACGCTGCATCCACGCGCAAAGACTCGATGGCTACATTTGGCGCTCCCTCTCCACAAACAACTGCGGCAAGTACTTTCATCTCAACTCCTCTTTCCCCTGAGCCCGAAATTCTCCACCAGCCGCAACATCGGTACAACCTGCCTGTACCACATTGGGCGAACAGGCAACGACCACCTACTCCGCCCCTTCACCACCTCGACGATGTGCGCCAACATGAGAAACGATTGCGAGGCCCTTCAGAGTATACATCGCCTTACAGCACATTTGCACCAGCATACATTCAGCCCTCAGTATCGAACATTCAGGGTTATCCGTCACAACAGACTGTCGCTCCACCCCCTCGATTTCATCCATCTGCCAATATTCTGCAACCGTCGCCTCTATTACTAGTACGTATCCCTTGCTATCATGCCAACATAGGGAAAATCTGAACAGGTCTGGAGCCTACATCGACGTTAGGGCACCTACCTTGCAGGTTTTCATGCTGATGTAGGCTGCAGACCTGTCCAGTTTTCCCTTGTATGAGGTTACTATTCGTGCTAACAGCTTGACAGAAAGCGCCCTCTATCCAGCATTGGCCAACTCACAACCTTAGCATGGTAGATGCACAGAGCAAGAAGAAGCAGGACGAATACAAAAGAAAGGGCGAGGTAGCGAGGAGAAAGACAGTTTCCGCCCAAGCTTCAGCGCCGCAGTACGAACTGATCAAGGAGCCTACATCGATGCCTCGCAAACGCAAGGCTTCAATTATTGACGACTTGACAACTACACCTGCACCTCCTCCTCGCTTTAGACGTCTTCTTCCGGGTTCACCCAAACCAAAACATGGGCAGCAACAGAGCTTCACAAGCAGCCCCGTGGTAAACCACCACCCGACTCCTCATCTACCGCAACCGGGCCCCATGCACTACATCGATCCGCGGCAGTATCACCCACCACCGTATATTTCTCCCTACCCACAGTATCAAGAACCGGTTCATGCGCGACCCTTGGTTTACATGCCTCAACACCAACCGCATACGCCCGCAGCACCTCCACCACCGCCTCCCAAGATTGTCCACCCTGAGACTATACCCCAAGATATCACAAGCACCTACGACGAGTACAGGTGGCCGGTCGTTCTATATGAGCTTGAACCTGGACATGGCTTCGACTTTGCCGAGTCCTTTTTACAAAATCAGTTGGAGGAAGGAATCTACCACTCAGACAGCAACAGATGGGACGCGCATATTACAGCAGGCTTCATCAAGAATGGAAACAGAATGTCGCTTCTAGTTTTACACAACGCTGCGAACCCGTTCCAGTATGACCGACCGGCCACAACGACTACCAGCATCGGCGTATATGGAATGTTTGCTCATGAGCATAACGAGATCCATTGGACGACTGTTGCGCCATCTGTTCACAAATGGCTCCGCTTATCCATGGAAGCGGATCTTCTCACGGTCAAACAGAAGTGGTTTCCCGACATGAAGGCTTCTGACAAGCGGTTTCATCGCGCGTATTGGTTGGCTGCCAATAAACTGCCGCTCAACCGCATACTGAACCATAACGTGGCACCCGAGGAGCCGTACGGAGTGTTTGAAGATAACGAGAAGAATAACTTTGTGATTACGGAAGAGGACCTGCAGTACGGGTGGGATGGAGAGAGTGTATCGGTGGAGAAATCGGAGAAGATCTGGGAGAGTATTGTCGACGCGATGGAGGGAGTGGACCTGGCGGACGTCGAGCATGTGTCTATAGGAGGATCAGAGAGGGCGTTTACGGCGGACTGGTTTAGCAAGTGAGGGTGCACTCGCTACCCAAGTCTGCGATGCCATGAGCTCATATACGATGGAGAAGGAGGTTTTCAGGAAAGGAAGTGGCTGCCAGTGGGCCCGCATGTAGTATAGTCTCAGTTAGAGAAATGAATGACAATCAAAACCACCAGAACACTTTGGACATTCATCTGCTATCCACAAGCGCTAATGAGAAAGCTAATCTACTTCCAACTATATCAGGCCGAGGCCATGGCTCTCGATAAGAACAGTCCACCGTCCCACCGCGTTATCAAGACAAGGGCCTCTCTAACATCCAAATCTAGCACTAATCATCGATCTCCTCGTCTTGAACACTCATCGTCTCGACGCTCTCGGCAAGGCTTAGGCCCGTTCCGCCCGCTCTCAAGGAAGGTTTCTTCCCTTTGCCCTTTGTTCTCTTCTTGCTTTTCGCACCACTGGTCTCGCCCACTGGCGGTGCATCCCTCACCCAGCGCGAAATGGCCTCAGCTCGTTCCGTACTGATC